AACGGATCGCCTGGCACCCCGACTGGGTACCTCCGTTGAAGGATGCTCCTAGCGCTTCCTGAGGACTCCAAGCACTCTGGCAGACACCACAACCACCGAACCGGAGAAGCATTGAATCTGCCTAGCGGGCAGATCCTGTATAACTCCCATTACCATCTCCCCCTAGCGGTCAGATCCTGTATAACTCCCATTACCATCTCCCCCCTAGCGGCTCCCATTACCATCTCCCCCTAGCGGTCAGATTCTGTATAGCTACCATTACCATCTCCCCCTAGCGGGCTCCCATTACCATCTCCCCCTAGCACACAGAACTCACAATTTATGCAGCACAAAACTCCTCCTCTGGGCCAGGCTAGATAATTGAGTTTCTACAATACACAAAGCTCAATTATCTGCTGGCCAGAAATAATACAGTTTCATAAAACACACAGGGACCCCAAAACATGCAATAACCCCATAAAAAGTATATCTTTGGAACCGGGGGATCTGGGTGAACCACATATCCAAAATTCACCCAGATCCGTTCAGTACTTTGGAAAATACAGTTTAATGCAGATTCTGCAGAACATATACAGGCTAAATGAAAAACAATTGCTGTATAATGTGTCCCTTGCTGTATAGTCCAAAACCACTGCACTATGTCTCTGTGCACCCAATACTGGCGAGATGGCACCGTGTTGAAAAGTCCAAACAGTGTCTGTGAGTTAAAATGGCCGCCATCCATTGTTCTCACCATGTGCTTCTGATACAGGAAATGGTGGCCACCCAGTAACTCCACAGTATGTCCCAGATGGTTCTTAAAGGGCCAGCAGCAGCACAACACAAATCCATTATGCCCAAATCATGTCTTTAAAGGGCAATACATCCCAGGGGCCATAGTCACAGGGCAAGAGGCGGGCAAGCAGTCCTCTCCAGGCACGAGTGGCGAAGGGCACTTTGTCACACTGGGGAGATGTGGAACGTAAAGTTTATGTTGTGTAAAAAGAAAGTTATATATTTTTATTCTGTTTTGCTGAAATAAGAAAAGCCAGGTTTCTTTCTTCCTGGAGATAATTAAGGCTCTCTTTGCTACCTTAAGTTAATTATCTCCACGATGGAAAAGAGTGAGTTATTTATGGAAAGGGGAGTGCTTATGCTATAGCCACTGTGATTGGCTACTGTGTTACTTTTGTCCCAGTCTTCCATCTGGTCCCCTAGGGGAGTGTCCACCAGGTGGAAGACCTGCATAAATACCGGGCGGGTAGCCCACAGTAAATCAGATCGTTTTACCCCTTCATGAAGTCTCGACTCATGTTTGGGGGATTGGGAGTTATAATCACTTCGTTTCAGCTGGATTTCGGGAGAAGCTGCAAGGATCATCGCTGTACAAATAGAAGGATCCTTTACAGATCCCTCTCGTGCAGCAGTGCCTGATGGGAGAAATGTCCTGTACAGTAAGTTCCCCATGTAGTTCCCTCTGGGAATGCCCCTGGGATGGGACTCAGGAAACCCCTTGCATGGGGACTTGTATAAATTGTGGAGCTGAAAATAAAGACCTCAGTTGACTCTCAGAACTGTTTTTCGTCCGCTTACTGGGAGATTTGGGAGATTGCCTTACTTTTCAGCGCTGACTGTGGATTACTGTATATACCAACCGAATTCATGGAATTTAATATTGCCGGTCCGCTACAGGGGGGGGGAGTCGCCACAAAGCGAAACTATGCCCCCTACCAATTATTAAGGAGCCATTTAGCAGAGTGGCAGTTGACATAGTGGGACCCTTACCTAAGCCTAGTCCCTCCGGTAAGAGGTATATCCTGACCGTGGTAGACTACGCCACCCGGTACCCCGAGGCCATCGCCCTGTCTAATATTCATGCAGAAACGGTAGCCGAAGCCTTGCTAAAAATCTTTTCCCGGGTAGGATTCCCGCAGGAGATAATATCTGATAGGGGTACCCAGTTCACCACGGAGGTCACCCAGCAACTGTGGAAGATATGTGGCATTAAGCCAATAGTAAACTCTGCCAATCACCCCCTGTGCGAAAGGTTTAATGGTACCCTGAAGCAGATGCTCCGTATGTTTGGAGAGGCCCATAAGGACTAGGAGCGATTTCTTCCCCATCTGCTGTTCGCATATAGAGAGGTACCTCAAGAGTCAACGTTTTCTCCGTTCGAATTATTGTTTGGGAGAAGGGTAAGGGGTCCGTTGGACCTAATTAGGGAGCATTGGGAGGGAGAGGGTAGCGCGGATGGGATCCCCATTGTACCATACGTGCTAGAGTTCAGGGACCCCCTGGAGGAATTAACCCAGGCCGTACGCACCAATCTCCAGGCGGCCCAGCAACGGCAGCGCCGCTGGTATGACAGGGGAGCCAGAGACCGTAGCTTTGAAGTGGCCCATACCAGGTGGTGGAACAGAGATGTGACACCACCTATGTGATTGGCCCCTGCTCAGGGGTAGGGAAGAGACGCATGCTCCACGTGAACATGCTCAAACCCTACCATGAGAGGACAGAGGATGTGGCAGCCATATGCACGCCCGCCTCTGAAGATCAGGAAAATCTGCCGCTACCTGACCTATTAGAACAGGACGATCAGACAGAGCCCTCCAAGGGGGTTCAACTGGGGGAGCGGTTAAGCCCTCAAGAGCGAACCCAGGTACAGGAGTTGATAGCGGCGAAAGGCGCCACTTTCTCCAACTTGCCGGGGTACACTCCGCTGGCCACCCACAGAGTTGAAACCCCTGGACAGCTACCAATGCGGCAAACCCCATATCGGATTCCTGAATCAATCAGAGAGCACACGAGGAAGGAGATTGAGGAGATGTTGCAATTAGGGGGTTATTGAACACTCCGATAGTTCCTGGGCATCGCCGGTAGTCCTAGTACCTAAGAAGGATGGTACAACCCGGTTTTGTGTGGACTACCGAAGGCTAAACGATAAAATGGTGTCTGATGCCTACCCGATGCCCCGGATAGACGAGCTGCTTGATCGGATGGCAAGAGGCCAGTATCTTACCACCATAGATTTATGTAAAGGGTACTGTCAGATTCCATTAGCCGAAGATACCATCCCCAAGTCGGCGTTCGTCACTCCGTTTGGCCTGTATCAGTTTAAGGTTATGCCATTCGGGATGAAGAACGCCCCGGCAACCTTTCAGAGGATGGTAGATCGGCTACTGGATGGGTTCCAGGATTATGCATGCGCATACCTGAACGATATCGCCATATATAACCAGACCTGGGCAGAGCAACACATAGGAGCAGTAATAGACCGTATTGGAGAGGCAGGGCTGACACTGAAGCCTAGCAAGTGTCACATAGGGATGGCTATAGTACAGTACTTGGGCCACCAGGTAGGAAGTGGGCAACAGAAACCTGAGCCAGCGAAAATCGAAGCCGTAGCTAAGTGGCTCGCTTATCTCCTTCTCCTGGTATCCCTGCAGGGATAGTTGGGAATCTGGACCGCCCGTCCAGCATCCCTGTAGGACTGGCACAGACACCGCGGTCCCATCTGCGCCAGTGTGGTTAGGGTTGTTCTCCCCCTCACCCGGTATCTCCTGCTGCGGTGGGAGAGGGAGGCCGGCTGCCCCCACTCCCCAGGGCGCTGGTTGCTGTAAGGTGGGGGGGGGGGTCTACCATCACCTCCTCCTGGAACTCAGGCCGCCACTGGGAAGAGAGACCGGTCAGCCCCTCTCCCTGTGAGATGCACTGCCGCTGGGGATCTGGGCCGGTTACCCAGCATCCCTGCGGGACTGGTGGAGAGACCTCAGTTCCATCTCCACCTGCCATCTGTGGGTCTTCCCAGGACCGTTCTATAAGGTTGCTCACCTCTGGGGCTGGTTGGACAGATAATCCCCTGGGCCGAGGGACGGTGGTTGGACTAAGTTGAACAGGCATTGGTAGTTCTGCTGCAGCGCCCACTCCATTTTGACCAGATGAATCAGGTCTGGCCCCAGGTCGTCCGCTCGGGGAAGATCCAGCAGGGTTTCCCTGATATTGTGGATGTCCCAGAACCGAAACTCCGTGGGGCATCCAAAGTCATCGCCCTCCTCAAAGGCCTCCCACAGTAAGCCCGGGCCATTATAATCCTCTCCCTCGGGCAGATAGTGGTTAGTCATCCAGGGGTGGCGTACCACTTTAATGCCCGGTAAGCTGCATCTAGCCACAACTCCTTCCAAATTAAATCCCAGAGTTCCAACAACCATTCATCCAAGGGTTGCTCCCCTAGGAAAGGGGAGCGCAGGGCCACGAGTACCTTGAACCGCTGCTCGTCACTGGGAAGGCTCTCTCCCCGACGCCGCTGTACCTTTTCCAGGGCATCGTACCACATCTCCGTACGAGTGACATCTCTCCAGTCCAGTATGCACTCCTCTGATACAAGCCCGTCCTGTTGGGCCAAGTGCTGCTGCAACCTCCAGCGAAACTCCTCTTCCATGTTGCTGTGGATAGGGACGCTGCGTAGAGGCTAGCGTTGCCCTCAATTATAAATCCGTAACGCCACACGTTACCGGTGTCTCCGAGCTGCTGGTCCTCGCACTAGGATGCCATTCCGCCGCTGTCACCAAATGTGACGGAACGCTGGCACTCCGACTGAGTACCTCCACCAATCGATGCTCCTAGCACTTGCCGAGGACTCCAAGCACTCTAACCGACACCATCAGCACTGCAGACCCCACTTCCAGAGATACAGCTGCACCGGGGTCTCGCCGTTTCCACCCACCCTGGATCCACGACCAGGATCCAGCTCCCAGTGGGTGAACCTCTCCTAAATCCAGAGAGCGTAGCAGGAACAAATCAAGCTATTGCAAGAGCTTACTCTGGGGAGTAAGTGATTATAGCAATCCCCAGAGTGTAGTTATCCCTTCCCCCAAACATGAGCCAAGGCTTCAAGAAAGGTACAAAATGAACTGGTTTTAATAACCACACACTGGTTTTTATGCAAGTCCCCATGCAAGGGGACATCCCACAGGGTGGAACCCAGTATAACCAATCACAGACAATACAAACAAAACAATCCCTCCTCTCTATCCTGGAGATAATTGAGAAGTAATCAAATTATCTCCCAGGACAGAGGCAAGACTCCATTAACCACATGGTTACAAAAAGACATAAAATTACACAATGTTACAATTACTATATAAAACATATACCTGCAACATATCCCCAGATAGCTTAGATCTGAGTGCACATTATTATTGAATGGCGCTCAGATCACATACATACAATTCAATCGCCATGGAGCCAAAGTCTTTTCCATAGTCTTTCGTTACACGAATTGGCTCCATGGCATAGCTATCTGGGGTAGCACTACTCACATACTGGAAGTCCCGAACAACCCGGCAGAAATACCCAAATAAACCTTATTGCAGGGTAAAATACAGCTATCAGCACAGGGGCCATAGTCGGAAGGCAGGAGGCTAGCTAGTAGTCCCCTCCAGGCACAAGTGGCGATGGGCACTTCTTCACACCAAGGCGCTTCTTCTGTGTGACATCACACTTTCTGCAATATCTGCTATGTCTTTGGTAAAACGTTTTTAATAGGAGATATTTGCTCAACATCCTAAAAAATTAAATAAAAACTTTTCAACTATATGCAGGCAATCCTGGCACAGTCACAGCATTCCATGTAAAATATGTGAACCCCTGTTTTGACAGTACGGAAGCAGTGCGTGCATTTCTCTGCCAATGCAGAGTGTCCACGTTACAATGGGGTGGTGACACTAACCTGCTGCAAAGAAATGTTAAATTTCATTTTTACACACACACACACCATTTATTGCGTTTGGGGAACGAGGGACTGACACTTGCAGAGAAATGAGAGTTCCACTTTAAAGACAAAGCTCCTAATTTATTATTATTATTATTATTTTTTTTAAACATTTAACATACTTTTACAAATACTGTGTATGTAATGGTTTGTTCTTTTTTACCTTAATTAAAATACAACAGCCAAAACATCTAGGACTCAATTCGACAACCAAATGTAGCAGTCGATGTGGATTTTCATTATTACTCTCCATTGCATATCTGTCATGCCAAGGACGCACCTGACTGCTGTCTTACTATGGATTTTATGCAATCTAATGGAGGTTTGCAAGACAAGGATTCAATGTCTATGCTATTGTGCTTGCACAAAATGCTCCACGCAGACAAGGTTAACCTTTAAAGACATCTTTAAATAACTGCAATAATAACACCCCAAATTTAACAGCTAAACGTCATGATATCACCGATAGTAGGCCGCTTAGCGGACATAAGCTGTCTTTAACAACAAGGATGCTGTCACACAGATGATAATTTCCCCGACCTAGCAATAGATTTTTAGTGAGGTACAAGATAGAGCAGTGTATGATTTCGTCTCTGTAGTTTTTGTCCTGTGAATGTGTTTTTCCCCATCCACACAGGTGATTCTCCAACTTCCCATATTAAAGGAAACAGTGGTCTCTGACCCTTTCAGTTCGTCCCATTAGATAGTCCTAAAATCATGAAGGTCAGACCCAGGGCCAGTGCATTATTGCAATGGGATATTCGACATTAAAGTATCTAAAGGTTGCCAGTGACAGTCCATCAACGCGTCATACACTTCCTCGCTCTGTGCCATGAATTGCTGGTTGGCTTCGTTCACATTAAGTGTCAGCATAGGATCTGTGGACACATATGTAGTTATTTAGAGTTTAAACAAGTAAATTAAAAAGAAACACTACACCAAGCTGTATTGTGAACACTCTATTGCCCTCTGCCACTAGGGGCAGTCTTATCCTGCAATGTGAAGAATGTACTCTCTAAAACAGTAGTGTTTTTACTTGCAGGCTTAAGACGAGAGGGGCACTGCAATGAGCTGGAATGGTCTGGGTGACTATAGTGTCCCTTTAAGGACAAGCTGAAGCATTCATTGACAGCTAACTATTGTCCAAATCAGATGCTATGGTACTTCTCACAATGCAGGAATCTGTATTCACAGCATCACAGGATTAAATCGATTCACTTTGTATTCACGTACATGCAGTATAACGCTGTCTCTCAACGCACATATTTATACAGAATTGGTCTTCTATGTGATAAATTTAGCCATTTTCAGGGATGTATTTATTTTGTGCATAACCTCTAATTAGAAACACACAGCTATTACTATACCAAGGAGTAACGTTTGATCCATACCTTCTACCCTATTCTCTCCCATTTCATCATAAACCTGATAAAAGAAAAGGACAAGAAAATAAAGCTCACACAATGCATTGCCAACTGCTGAATAAGAATTAGAGATACAGACAGAAGACTTTGTGGCAAACCTAGCCACTTGGACAATATAAAGAGACTGTGCCTTTAAGGGTTGCCTATATGGTTGTGGGGATGTGTGTGTGCCTACGTGTAATGTATGCTGGCTGTATAACCTTGTATTACCTGTATTGGCTATCTGCCGAAAGCAGATAGCTGTATTCCATTTAGTTTCACGAACGGCACCTTTGCGGGCCGTTCGTGAACCAAAATAACCACCCTGTAATAGCCCACACATTTAGAGACGTGTGGCGCTTGTTAACCGATTGCAACAATGTTGCAATCGGTAATTAGAGGCTCTCCTAGGTGGCCATCATTCGACTACCGACCACGCGGCGGTCGGCCATCTTGGATCCTTTGTTTCCCCAGCGGTGTTTGGTCGTCGAGCGCGTGGTACTAAAAACGGCTACTCGACGGCACATACACCGCTGGACTTCCAGGCCGTTCGGTAGTTCCGGGCCGTTCGGTATTTTATTCCCCATATACCAATCAGTCTTTTGAATGTATGTTTTGGGAAATATGTTTTTCGTGCGGCGTTCGGTTGTTTTAGCTGGGATCTGAGCGGTAATCTCACGAATGATGCGCTCAGACCCAAGCTATCTACCGAACGTCCATTCGTGCAAATAGACCTAATACTCGAAAAGTTATACATTTTAATATAAATTGCCGGTTCTGCTGCACGGAGGGATAATCCACTTAACGGTACATTCCAGTGGGAGGATCCCTCTCGTGCAGCAGTGCCTGATGGGAAAAATGCTCTGTACTGTAAGTTTCCCACATAGTCCATCCGTGGATACCCCTGGGAGAGGACTCAGGAAACCCCTTGTATGGGGAATTGTATAAATTGTGGAGCCTGTGAATAAAGCCTTCAGTTGACTCCCAGAACTGTGTTTCGTCCGGTTACTGGGGGGATTGGGAATATCGCTTTCTTTTCAGCGCTGACTGTGGATTACTGAGTATACCAGCGGAATTCGTGTGTTTTATACTGCCGATCTGCTACAGACTTTATATAATATGTATAAATGAACGAGATCCGTCTTGTCTGGTGTGTGAGTAACTCTGTGATTAAACAGCTGCATTTACCTCCGGTGCACTCCGTGTGTACCCATATATCTGGGGGCTCTCTCCCACGCTCTTTGTACTTGGTGTCCTCTGGTGATACTGCTGGCTGTAGTATGTAACAGCTTGAATATAATCATTTACTAATTTCTGTGTAATGTCATCGCCGCTACAAAGAAAATAAATTATTATATTTAGATCAGAACCTTACTTACAACACACAAAAAAACCAACAACTTTTATTTTTCAAATTGCTGGTTTCCCACCCAGCATGTATCAGAAGCCACTTTGATACAAAATGAGTGACATCAATGGCTGCACAGTTATATGAAAGAAAAACATTTTCTATTCTTGTGCCAACATGTGAATTCATATTTTCTATACTCGTGTGACCTGAACAGCAAGAGTTTTGTGCAAAGTGTACGACAAAAACATGTATTCCTGATCCTATAGTGTAAAAAACACCATCTAGCCCCCACCAGACCCCCTTGCACCCCTAAATATAGAATAAAATCTTACCTGTATTCCGGTCTGCAGCTGCTGGATCTGCCCGTAATCTGCCCGCTTGGCTGACATCAGAAGAGATTCTCTCAGCCAGTCACAATGCTTTCCCATAGGATTGGCTGAGACTGTCAAGTAGGCGGAGCCAGCACAAGCCAAACACAGCCCTGGCCAATCAGCATCTCCCCATAGAGATAAACTGAATCAATGTATCTCGATGAAGAAAGTTCAGGGTATCCATGCAGTGGGTGGAGACACTTAAAGGACAGTGTGGCGAAACCGACCTCGCCACGTGTCCTTGGAGGGGGCTGCTTGCCCGCCTCTTGCCTTTGGACTATGGCCCTGCAGGTTAAACTGTTTATTTTCCCTGCAGAAAGGCTTATTCGTGTGATCTGAGTGCCATTCATCTAATAATGTGCAGTCAGATCCAAGCTATCTGGGGATATGTAGAAATGTGTGTTTTATGTACTAAATGTGTCAGTATGTAATTTTATGTCTTTTACTGTCTTTTTGTCTGCCATGTGGGTAATGGAGTTTGGCTCTGTCTTTGGAGATAATTAGATTCCTTCTCCAATTATCTCCAGGGCAGAAGGGAGGAAGCCAGGATGCATTGTGGGGATGTTTTACTTTTACTGTTTGAGCCAGGGGGAACAAAAGATACTTTTACTAACTTTTGAACCCCTGGTCTGATTCATGCCATTTTTTAATATGTTGTTCCCCTGAATGGATTGATTGTGAATATGTATTTTTATGCGAATGTGATGTATATTTTGGGAGTTATGAATGTTGTGTAAAAACTGTATTTTCCCTACCTATGATAATTGTATTTTCCTGTGTGTACAGATAATTAGTTTACAGGTAGAGGGGAGGGCTATGTGTG